TCCAGTGAAATATATTTATGTTTGTGGTTGTAATGTGACAAAATATGGAAAAGTTCAAGGGGTATGAATACTTTTGCAAACCACTGTATATCACCATATATACTGTATGTATTAGCTCAGTGCTACACATTCTCTCGTCACTGAGGTCTTCCATCCACATGACAGAGAGGGGAACGCAAAAATGACTCAGCTGCAACTGAAAATATGGATGGAGGACCTCAGTTTAGCTTGTTTGTCGCGCTAGCGCCGCGCTAATACATATAAGGCGATATAGTGTGAGGGCTAGCGCGAAGGCTAACAGGCAAAGCTGGGGTTCTTCTTCCATGAAGCAGCTCTGTGGTATCTGTAGCTCTACAGTATTTTTAGTCTTTATTTTACAGTTAAAATATATGTTTATCAAATAAAGTCTAATGTTACAACTAATCATGGATCCCTTTAATTTATTATACTAAATCAAAAAGAACTACCTGGATTACTGAGATGCATCGGGACATGTTTATACTAAAATGTACTTTGTTCATTTTAATTAACTCAATTATTTTCATAAAAAACAAGTTTATGCAAAACTCCTTCAGAATATTTTGACTCACTGAGAACTGTCCTCCCCTCGTTGTGATGTAGATGGTGTATTGTTTCTCACTGATGTTAGTCAGACTCGTCCCCTCTCCGCTCCTCGACGTTCCTCCAGTTTCCCCTCCTTCCTCCTCTCGTCCTCCGTCCTCTGCCTCTCCGTCCGTCCGTCTGTCCTCTAGAGCGATGCGTAGCGCCAGATATTTTGACAGGTGGTCCACTGTGGCATTAGCTGTTGTCTTTACGAATCTGAAAATAAAAATATTAATAAATAGGGAAACGTGTTACATTTAGCCAATCCGTTTTTTTTGGACCAATGGGAGGTGTATTTAACACTTGTATGAACTATTAGTAAAAGGATTAAAAAAGCAAAGAGAAATCTGAAATTTTAAATCGAATTTAGCAGTTTATTTTTATTTTTTGTCTTTAGATTGTGTTTTGCTTTACTGCTTTCACTCTACCTGGTCTGGTTGTAGTCCTGAGGATGGACCAGCTGGGGGTGGGGTCTGAACACCAGCTCGATCTCGGAGGCCGGCCTCTCCTTGTTGCGTCTCAGAGGGGGAGTTGGGCTCCCGCTGTCCGCCTCGGGCCCCGAGCCGTCGTCMGAGGCTCGCCGTTGCTTGCGGCTCGGCCCGGCCTCCGGGGGGGTCTGACCGCTGGGGTGGGGTGTGTTTGACGGGGCCGAGTCGTGGGACAGGTGCGAGCGCGAGTCGCCGTTATCCTCGCCGCCGCTGAAGGTGGTATTGTCACTTTCTAGAGTGGGTTTCTTTACCCGGTGGTTCCTGCAGGGAGAACAGAAGCACATGAAGAAGAGATTTTATTCTATTTTTGTTGTTTCCAACATGCTTATGTAACTAACAAAAATAATGTTCTCTGCTTCTAAAATCACTATAAGAATCATAATGTGGTGAACTGAAAAATAGTCAGTACATCTGAAACACAAGGGGGCACTAGAAACATGATGTGAATGGAAAAGTACTCTGAAATGTTGAGCAAGAAACAATCATAACACAGCACACATAATGAAGCTTAAGAGCCTTAATTTTAACTTTATTTCTAAAAAAAAATCAAACAATTTATTATCATGATCCTTAATAAACTTAATAATAGAAATATTTTTATATTGCTTGGTGCTTTATTTAAAAGACAAATATCTGGATTTAATTTAGTAGTATAGTACATTATAAGAAATAACTTCAGTGGGCCTATTATTCAGGTTTCCTACAGTTTAAGGCAAGGTAAGTTTAAGACTTTTTAATGCCAAATGAAATTAAATTTAAGACCAATTTCACAATAAAACACAAAAAAAAAACTGACAGAAACTCATGAATCAAAGTATTTTTGGTTGAAGTATTCAAATATTCCTAATAAACCAATTATTTTTAACCATATCTAACTGCTATTTTGTCAAATATAGCAAAAACATTCAGTTTAAAACTTGATTTAATTCCTGGAAATTCTCTAACGACCCAAAATCTGGAATTTTAGGACCCACAGTGGGGTCTTAACCCCAATTTGCTGTAGATGAAACCTTAAAATGCTTGTGATAGCAATTTTTTTCTAAGAAATGTGAATACATTTTTGGAAAGACAACATTATTAACATATTACAACACAAATTTTACGTTGCTCAGACGGACAGTTGTTGAGATATTTGCATGTTAAGCAACAGGAAGTGATGTCAAAGGGGAATGTCTGCATGTGAATGTTTTAAAAAATAAACATTACCAATTTTTTAAATATTTGAGACGAATTGCAATCATCGTATTTACATTTTATGACGTCTGAAAGACTGATTTAAGACACTTTAAGGCTAATTAAGGCCTTAATTTTAGATTGATGAATTCAATTCCTTTTAAGTCTTTTTAAGGATCTGCAGGAACCCTGATTATTGGAGAAAATATAGGAAATAATGTCATTAAAATTACTCACAAAGGCCACTATTTCTAATATAACAATCCTAAATCATTATTTAATTTTACTACTCACAAATTGTTAAATAAAAATGTAATGCAACTTGTCTGAAGACACACACACAATCCTCACAGACCTGTAGCGGGCCTGCTGGCGGAGCCCCTCTTCGATGCTGGAGCTCAGTGCTTCCTTGTTGTGCAGCCTGTTGAGGCGCTCCAGGACGCTGCGCTGGTGAGCCTCGTACTCGTCGCGGCTCGGGTAGATCTTCGAGATCAGGGCGTCGAAGTTTGAATCCCTGCGCAGAGAACGTCTGGAGACCAACTTCTTCCTGCAGGTGGGGCACTCCTTGTTCCTGAGGGGTCACCATGAAGAATCACACTTAAATACGGTGTAATTACAGAAAAAAGGCATCAGCAGATCTGATTGCAAATGAAGCTCTTTTTCTTTGTGCATAAAGTTAATTAAAACATTGAAAACTAGCAACAGCTCTCGCTGCAGTGTTCTTACCCAGATCGCAGCGCGGTGACGATGCAGTCGGAGCAAAAGCGGTGCAGACACTCTTTGGTGGTCATTGTGTTCTTCAGCATGTCCAGACAGATGGGACACATCAGCTCACTGTGCAGAGAGCGAGGAGACACGGCCACCTCAGTCCCGTCTACGATGGCCTCCTGGACACAGTTATAGCCAAATTCTCACACGTGACAATAAAAGGCTTCATTTTTGTAAGCTGAAACCTTTTTTTAAAGGGACAATATTATGTTTCTCAGGCATATATTTAAATTCTATACCATAATAAGGTAACTATGTCACCCTCAGTTGTTATTAAAATGTTTATACTGTATGTTTAATCATCATATCTGTTTCTAAACGCCTTGAAATTGGCCTGTCTAAGAAACTCCTTCCGCTTCTGTCCCACCCATTTCAGCATGGGGTTGGGTGGGTGTGTGCTCTGTGATGAGGAAGCTCAGCTTGGAGACACAGTCCAGAGGAGGAGCTTGTCCCAAAGGGCGGTTCTAGGCCCAACCAGTCGTTTCTACTCCCCTGCCTGGCTGCCTCAGGACACTACATGATTTATCAAACATGCATGAATGAGTCAAAGCAAGACTTTGGACATATTTTTGATATTATAACATGATATGAAATTCAAAAAAGTTGATTTTACACGATAAAGCCCCTTTAAACAACAGGTTTAGCAACACTCCAAATAATATTCTACTGTTTGCAAACATTACTCACTCTTATATTATTGGTTAGGAAATAGATGTTTTCCAAACCTATATTTGGTCTGTTGTGTTTTAAAAATGTTTCTCATCATTGAGTTATAATATCCCTCTGGTTATTCAAATTCCCTTTACAGTTCTGAAACTGTTAAAAGCTTTAAAATAAAACATAAGGAATAAAATACAGCGTCCTAAAAAATTAAACTTGCAAACATGCATGAAAGACTGTATTTAGTTTGTATTAAAAACAATTACAAACATGAATGAATCAATAGTTGAATCCTTTTTGAAGGTTTCAGCTTTTCTCACAATTTTTTTTAAATGATTTGCCAAGCCCATAGACTAACAAAGTTTAAAATTTGAAATATTCAAGGTGGTAAGACCATAACATAAATTTTCATACCTGGAGTAACACCCACATGCCTTGACGTTTAACACCTGATGGAATGCTCACATTGGGATAGGCTTGTCATTTTTTTAAAGGAGAGATTTTGTTTCAAACTTACCTGCGGGCTCCTGTGCAGCTCGTAGAGACTCAGTTCCCAGGTCTTACTGGGTGTCTGGACATTTATTGGAGCCGCCATGGCTGCTGATTCCCAAAATAACTGCACTGAGGAAAAAAAGGGGGAGGGAAGAAAGAGTAGGACACTACTTATTAGTTTTGGTTTTAGAGTAGGACACTACTTATTTGTTTTGGTATATACACTCCTGATCAAAATCTTAAGACCAGTCAAAAAAGTACAAGAATTTGCATTTTGCACTGTTTGGTCTTAAGAAGGTTCTAAGTAGAGCTTCACRATGTTAAAAGAAGAAATCAGTGCAAGAGACAAGAACTTTTGAGCAGGGAATTTTCTGAAAACTGCATTTACACTCAAACATGATTTTTTTTCAGCTGATCAAAGGTTTAAGACCATAGTCTTTAAAAGCCAAAAGCTGTGCAAAAATCTGGATTCCATGTCATTTTCTGTCAAGTCTTTACACTGTCAAGACCTCCTGATGGCAAAATCAAAAAAGCTCACTGACTTTGAACGTGGTAGGATTGTTGAGCTGCATAAGCAAGGCCTCTCACAACGTGCCATCGCTGCTGAAGTTGGACGCAGTAAGACAGTCATTTTGCATTTTTTAAATGATGTGGTAGACCCCAAAAAAATTTCACCAGCTCTGAGCCGCAGGATCCGATTGGCTGTCCGTCAAGACACGGGACGATCCTCTACCC